CCCGATTCCCCCTGGATAGTGCCCAGGATCCGGATGTGGGCACTAATACTGTGAGCTTCTACACTCTAAGCCCCAGCAGTCATTTCTTTCTGAATGTGAAGACCCTAAAAGATGGGAAGCTATTCCCAGAGCTGGTGCTAGAGCAGCAGCTGGACCGTGAAGCCCAGGCAAGACATCAACTGGTGCTCACTGCTGTGGATGGGGGTATCCCAGCCCGCTCAGGGACCACCCTTATCTCTGTCATTGTACTGGATGTTAATGATAATGCTCCAGCTTTCCAGTCCCCAGTTCTGCGTGTGGGGCTCCCAGAGAATGCACCCATGGGTACACTGTTGCTCCGCCTCAATGCCACTGATCCAGACGAAGGCACCAATGGCCAACTAGACTATTCTTTTGGAGACCATACATCTGAGGTAGTGCGTAATCTCTTTGGCTTAGACCCTAGCAGTGGAGCAATCCATGTCTTGGGTCCCATAGACTTTGAGGAGTCAAGTTTCTATGAAATTCATGCAAGAGCCCGTGACCAGGGACAACCAGCCATGGAAGGCCATTGTATGATTCAAGTGGATGTGGACGATGCCAATGACAATGCCCCAGAGGTACTACTGGCCTCTTTGGTCAACCCTATCCTGGAAAGCACACCAGTGGGCACAGTAGTGGGCTTGTTTAATGTGAGGGACCGAGACTCGGGGAGAAATGGTGAAGTGAGCCTTGATATCTCCCCGGACCTGCCATTTCAGATTAAGCCTTCTGAGAACCACTACTCACTGCTAACCAGCCAGCCGTTGGACCGGGAGACCACATCCCACTATGTCATTGAGCTGCTTGCCAGTGATGCAGGCTCACCTCCCCTGCATGCACAGCTCACTGTCAGGCTCAACATTTCAGATGTTAATGACAATGCACCCTACTTTACTCAACAGCTCTATACTGCTTACATCCCAGAAAACCGGCCTCCAGGTTCCCTTCTTTGCATTGTGGCTGCCTTGGACCCAGACACTGGGGATAATGCCCATCTTACCTACTCTATTGTAGGGAACCAGATTCAGGGAGCCCCAGCTTCTTCCTTTGTATATGTCAACCCTGAGGATGGGCGGGTCTTTGCCCAGCGCACCTTTGACTACGAATTGCTGCAAATGCTGCAGATCATGGTGGCGGTGCGAGACTCTGGCTCTCCCCCATTGCACTCGAACACATCTCTGCATGTGTTTGTTCTGGATCAGAATGATAATGCACCAGCAGTGCTGCACCCAAGACCTGGCTGGGAACTCTCAGTACCCCAGCGTATCCCTCGCTCTGCTCCTCCTGGCTCCTTGGTCACCAAAGTGACAGCTGTGGATGCTGATGCAGGCCACAATGCATGGCTCTCCTATTCACTGTTGCCCCAGTCTACAGCTCCAGGACTGTTCCTGGTGTCTGTACATACTGGGGAAGTGCGCACAGCCCGGGCCTTACGGGAGGATGATTCTGACACCCAGCAGGTTGTGGTCCTGGTGAGGGACAATGGTGACCCTTCCCTCTCCTCTACAGCCACAGTGTTGCTGGTTCTGGAGGATGAGGACCCTGAGGAAATGCCCAAATCCAACGATTTCCTCACACTCCCTCCTGAGCGTTCAGACCTTACCCTTTACCTCATTGTGGCTCTTGCAGCCATCAGTCTTTTATCCTTAGTCACTTTCACTTTTCTGTCAGCTAGGTGCCTTCAGGGGCATGCGGATGGGGATGGGGGCCAGTGCTGCAAGCGCCAGACCTCACCTTCTCGGGACTTCTATAAGCAGTCCAGTCCCAACCTGCAGGTGAGCTCAGACGGCACACTCAAGTACATGGAGGTGACGCTACGGCCCACAGACTCGCAGAGCCACTGCTACAGGACGTGCTTTTCACCAGCCTCGGATGGCAGTGACTTCACATTTCTAAGGCCCCTCAGTGTCCAGCAGCCCTCAACGCTGGTGCTGGAGCCTGATGCCTTCTGGTCCCGCTCTAATACGCTGCGGGAGCGGAGCCAGGTGAGGGGTTCAGTACTGCCAAGGGTGACCCCTGTGGTTTGGGATGGAGAAGCAGCCCATCCACAGAAGGGACTTTGAGTTTACCTCCACTCCTCTTGGGAGGGGGTGGAGGTGTGGGGGTGGAGGATGGAGGTCAGTGTTGCCAGCAGTCCATCTGATTGTTGGGACCATTTGGTCCGAATGCATGGAATGCCAAGGTAGGGATAGGACTCTGAGCACCAGGAGGTGGTAGTGATTGCAGGTGAGGGTAAATAAGACCAGTCCCCCCTGCCCTCACTCAGAAAAGCCTGGGGCCCAGCAGTCTTTATGGCCAGGGTTGGGGGGCTGGGGGTGGTCCTGGGTGGAGGCAGTCATGGATCTATAGTTGCATCCAGCCTCCTTGATTCCCAGGCCAGCTTGCTGTGCTAGTCTTTGTTTCTTCTTCTACTCCCTTGACCTGTGACTTCACTGTTAATCTCAACCTTCCTTATTCCCCCATCAAACAAATTCATCTGTAGACAGAATCAGTATACACCTAGGCTTCATGCATGTCCTCCTTGCAGAACATATCGCTGGCCACACGCAGCAACAGGCTCGTCTCACTTCATCTGCACACATGCACAAGCAAAAACACAGTCACGCACACACACACACACACACACACACACCTGCACTTGGGCTTACACACACGTCACCTTTTACTGCCAGCGCTTGCTGCCAGGTTCACATGCACTGGCTGTCCCAGAGCCCCTCACAGCTACCCAACCACCTGGCTGCTGGTATCAGAGGTGCTCACTGCTCACTGATTACACCGTGGTGAGGATCCCATGGCACAGTTTCCCAGGGCCTGCAAGGACTCAGGAGCCCTTTCCCACCTCCACCTGGGGCTAGGTCAGGCCACCTCTGGGCAAGAGTTTTTGACTCTAGGTTGGGCCACCCCATTGCACTGGGGCTCTAGGTAGAATGCTGTGCTGTGGTGCCTCCAGCCCAGAAGCCTTGGGGGCTGGCTGAGCTACCCTGTGGGCCAAGGGTACAATAGGCAGCCTGGGATCTCAGTGGCAGTCACTGCCTGTCCTATCCCAGGAAGTAGAAACTGAAGCACCTGGACTCTGGGCACCCAGAGATAGGCTTTTGGCTCCGTCGTGACCTTGATGTGTTCTGCGATCTAGGGTCAGGGCTTTAGGGGCGAGCAGAGTATCTGAGACTCTGTCAATCCCTCCTTCAGCTGATGGAAAGCCTCTGCCAGTTGTTGGGGTACCCTCATCTGTGGGGAAACTATAATAGTAAAAAGACACAAGTTTTCACAAACTCGGGAGCTTTTATTGAAAATATACTCATACCCCACCCTGCCCTTGCTGAATCAGAATTAGAGTTTTGAAACAGCACCCCAATGTGATAGCTGATTGAAAGAGCCTTCCTGCAATACCTCCTTGGAGTACCACGTCTCACTTGCTTTTCCTAAGGATTTTGTTGGGTGGATACTAGCTTCCTCACCTTATAACTGAATTTCACAGAGGTCAAGTGACTTGCTCAAGTTAACAGGGTAAGTGGTAGAGAAAGATCTAACTCAAGTCTAATTCCAGAATTTATGCTTTCACAAAGTTGGAAGATGAGAGGGCAGTTTGCATCTGCTGGGATGGGGCATAGATGGATTCTTCCCTTTTAGGGCTTTATCTGTTAGAGAAAAGTCTTCTGGGGCTCCTTGTCCCTGAGTAGCCTTCACTGAACACACTTTGGACCCGCCGTCTTTATGTAGGTTGTGAGTTTTGCCCATCAATTCTCCTCCAGTCTGTCATGGTTCTCGAATGGATCATACATAGATTGTCCTGTGTCTAAGAATACAGTGGCTGATGAGTAGGCATCCCAGTGCCTTTCCCCACAGCAGCCCTGGACTGGTGCCAGCGACCCCTCTTATTCCTGGGATGCTAACTTTCTGGGTTCTGCTCATATCACTGACACCTGTGAGTCTTAGAGTGAGATATCTGAGATATTTGGCAGCCTTGGGTTTGTCTTCTCCCCAGTATAATCAGAGATGCTCACACTTCTCTTCTGCTTCTATAAGTGAGAGTGAGAGTCTGTTACCAGCATAGCCCAGAAGGGGTAAGAAGAGATAGCTCTAGAGTGCTCCATGTGTGATTGGATAATACACTCTCTGGAAAGGCTGGAGGGGGACTCAGGAGTGGACTCAGGAGTGAAGCGACTGGCCAAAGTCCCACACCTTTACCCAGATGGGACATGGCTATAGATCAACCCCTTAGGAGCCCTGGAGACTTAGCTGGCTCTCTGCTTAGAGGCTTTGGAGGCTGTGGGAGCTAGAGCTCTGCTGGGCTCCATCCCAGCAGTTTTCTCTATCCCAGACAGAGCAGGCTTGTTCTCTCCTCCTCAGTCACGGCCATTGTCTGGCAGAGTTCTGGGGGTGAGGGGTGTCCTGGGGCTTGGATGCCCTGCAAAGGATCAGTCTGGCATGACTCCTAAGTTAATAATGTATTTAGCTGTGGGAAGGGATTCTTGAGAGCCAAGGGCCTGGAGGAAGCGTCCCTCTGAATGTGTTACAGCACATCCTGGCGCAAAAAGGGTTACCGGGAGCAGCAGCCATCTTGCTGCAAAGATGCTTTGTTCCCAGCTGAGGTGCTAAATAAATTCTTTTTAGAGGCTGGTGGAATTCTCATTTAAAATCTTCTCTGACACTTTCGAGGACCTTTTCTGCACCCCTCCCCCTGGTTCCACTTTCAGCCCTTGAATCTCAGCTCAGAATTTCTGAGTCTGTGGGCAGGGAGGAATGGGCTATTTCTTCAGCAAAGGAATCTGGGTTTGCTCACTACGGTCAGATAAATGTTATTTTATCTCTTTGCCTTAGACCTCAGACCTGGGGTATGTTTTGTCTTTGGAGATTAGTCTTTCCCTCCCTCCTCTTTCTTTGTATCCATTCCCCTCTTTTCCTTCCTGCCCATCCCCACACATTGGTGACATTCTGTTTGTGAGTACTCAGCCCGTTTCCCTCTGTTTTCTCCACAGCAAGCCCCGCCCAACACGGACTGGCGCTTCTCTCAGGCCCAGAGACCAGGCACCAGCGGGTAGGTGACTGCTTCTCCAGCCCATCCTCTTCTCTGCGGCATTTTCTCAGTGATGGCGAGGGAGGAGGTGGGGGGAGGGCCCAGCGTTTGCTACAAATGGCTCCTTCCCTCAGTTCCAGATTTCAGGGAGGTTTCGTGTTTTGGGGGCTGGTACAAGGATCCCAGAAGGAAAAGGCTTCTACTCTGGCTATTTTGAAAGCTCAATTCACACCTCAGCCCTTCTCTTCTCACCAGGTTAATCTTTTCCTATCTTCTAGTCCTAAAGTGGTCTCCGGGTGGAACCCATCTGATTCTTAAGTCTCCCTGCTCCTGCTTTGGCTGGGGTTCAGGCAGAGACTCCGGGGACAGGAGGCAGGGGGGAGGCACAGTCAACAGTCAGAACCTCCTCCAGAGTCTGCAGGGAAGAGCCCAGGAGAGGTCGGGGAGGTCGGTGGTCAGCTGTTGGGGGAGGCAGAGACTGCACTGCTGGAGGCTGGGCTGAGGAGGGAGCTCCTGGGGCAGGTCTCCCTCCTCCTGCCCCACTCCGGGCTGGGCTGCCTCAGTCCTGAAACTGGTCCTGCCCTCTCTACCTGCAGGCCTTTTGTCTCTGCCACCCTTTCTTATCTCTTTGCCCTTCCTTCAGTCTCTTATTTCAGTTTGTGGTCTTTGCCTCTCCCTCTCTATCTGTCTGTATCTCAGTTTCTGTCTTTATTGCTGTGTCTTGGTCCCTACCATTTGTGTCTGCTTGCACTGATCTGTGCCTCACACTGCACCTGTCGTGCGCGGTGCTCAATAAATGTGGAATTAATAAATGTGACTCTTCCTTAGTCTCAGTCTTTGTTTCTTTTCTCTCCGTTTCTGCCTCCCAGTCTCTCCTTGACCTCTTTTTTCTCCCTCTTTCCTAGTCTCCTTATGTTCCTCCATCTCTAGTCTCTTGGTTTCTCAATCTCTCGCTATTTCTGCTTTCCTTTTTGTTCTCAGACTATGTGTCTTTTTGTGTCTCTGTGTGTCTCTGTATCTCTAAGTGTGTAGTCTGTCTCTGTCTGCGTCGCTGAATCTCTTATTACTCTTTGTTTATCTCTCCATTTCCTTTTTATCCTGTCTTTTACTCTTTGTCTCTGTCATTTCTTTGTACTTGTGGGCAAGCCAGCACACACATTCCCCCCACAACTCTTCTCCCTCTCCCTGCCCCTCACACACAGAGTCTTTGATCAGTGCTCACTACCACATACCCTCCCACCCAGGCTACCCCGGCTGCTCATTTTAATTGAGTATGAATTCCTGCTGAGACAGGAACCCTCTGTGGGTAGTGGGGAAGGAAACAGCAGAAAGACCTTTAGTTGGTCTCAGGAGAGTAGGGTGGGCTTTGGGCCAGATCTCCCTGTTAGAAGTCAAGAGCCTAGAGGAGTCCTAGGAACCCGGTGGGGGGGAAGGAGAGAGAGGGAGGAGAGAGAAGAGCTTAGATCACCTTCCCCTGCGCCCTGCCTCCTTGATGGTCAGGCACTTGTTGCCCACATTTCCCCACATGCTATCAATGTGGTGAGGGCTCACTGCCACAAGAACCCAGGAGACCTCAGTACATGCCAAGGAGGTAGAGACTCCACCTCCTTGTCCTGTGCAATCCTGCACATGTATCGGGAACTCAAGATACTTCCTAGAAGACCGTTAGAAGGCAGCAAACCAGATGGTTTGGACTATCCTTACCCCTTCATTGACCCCTTCTGTCTCCTTTTTTCCCCGGTGGGTTTGCCAGCCTTTTTATAGCTTATCCATTAGGCCATTCATGTGTTTATTCACATATTCATTCATTCATTCGTCACTTACTTGTTTGGGCATCTGTATGATCCAGGCCTTGTTCTAAACACTGTCCTGTAAGCATGAACAAGCAGACATGATCTTAGACCTCATAGACTTCCAGGCTAGCAGGTGAGACAACAAATTGCACCGAAACAAATGTCTAGTTAGAAATCATAGCAAGTTCTCAGAAAAAGAGGGTCATATGAGTTGTAATGGTGGGGGGAGGGGTAGAGAAAGCCTCCAAGAAGAAGTGACATTTGAGCTGAGGTGAGGAGAGGTACTGGGCAACTTGTGTACCCTGTACCCTCCTCTGCTGTAGATCATATACTGGCCCTGAAGCAGAATTCACTGTTGGACCTGGAAATCCCACAGATTGCTTGTGTTGTCACCTCAGGGTTGAGCACCGTACCCCTGCCTCAAGTCCCTTGTCATCAAATGAGAGACTTGGTGTCCTGAAATACACACAGGAACTCTTGGGGAGATGTAAGGGAAGGCTCCCTTCCTTAGTTAAGTTGAGGAGGATGGACAAACATTTCTGATGGAGTTCCAAAATGGTCCAGGTGAAAAAACATGAAGGGACCAATCCAACAAGTACAACTTTTCTCGTTGATTTATTCCATAGTTAGTAAGCACCTACTGTAGGCCAGGGATGTCCTAGGGGTGGGAGATAACAAAATAGGCCTGCTCCCTTCCCAAAAGGAGCTTACTGTGCATTGAGTGAAACAAATATTAATACCAAAAATAAATATAAGATTGTAACTATCATAAGTGCTATGAAGAGCATTGACTGGTGGTGGAGCATAAAGTAGTGATTTGCCCTGGTCAGGGCGCAAGAGGACCTCTAGGAGGAAAGGAGGTTGTGCTGAAATCTGAAGGGGTTCAAATTAACCAGCTCCAGAAGAGAGGGAAGAGCCTCCGCATGGGCCTTGTAGTAAGGCCCCTCAGGATCAGCAGACTGACAGGGAACTCTGTCTTTGCTGCCATTCTGAGGAGTAAATCTGAGTGGAAGGATGAAGAAGGGTGATTTCTTCAGTCTAACTCTGGCTCCAGCCCTCCACTGCTTCTTTGCTCCACTCCTCCCCCCTGGCCCCCCACTGCACCATCTTTGCTACTAGCACACTGGGTACAGAGCAGGGGGCAGTGTTGAGTTCCTCGATGAACCTAGTTCGGGTTCAAGCCAGCACTGGGTCACATTGCCCAGATAAAGGGGGGAAAGACATGATCTGAAGTCCCTGCCTGCCATGTGCTCCTCCTTCCAGCCACTGTCCCTTCTCAAGTCATCTTTTTGGCTTCTTATCTCAACAGCTGTTATCTCAAGCTTTGAACCCAGCAAGCCACTTGTCCCTTCCCACACTGTAACCCAGGCCCCACCCTGCAGCTGTTCCCAGTCTCTGCACAGAGGAGTCTCCATTTAGCTTTTCCTGGTCTCCACTCTCTTCTCCGTTGATGACTTCCATCCCCCTCCTCTGAGAGGACACAATCCCTGCTCTCAGCAGACAAGTAGCAACTTAATTGTTGTTTTTTGTTTTTTTGTCTTTTGGGTGTTTTTTTGTTTTGTTTTGTTTTGCTTATAAAATAATACACACTCATTGTAGAAGCATGGGGAAATAGAGAAAAATTTTTGAAAGAAAAAGGACTCTAAATTTCACAACACACAAAAACCCCCACTAGCAATTTTTGAGTATGGAAATTTTCAAATCTGTGCAAAAGTGGAACGGTAAAATGAACCTCTGTGATCCCACTGTCAGCTTCAACTAATGCCCTGAGTCGTTTCACTTCAGTCTCCACCCTGTTACCCCCCTGGAATTACTGAGACAAATCTCAGCCATCATATAAAGTCATCTGACTCTTCACTGTTTTAAAGAGACAATTCTTTTAAATACACGGCATTAACAGTAATACTAATAAACTAATAATATACTGGTACTAAGTAATATAACATTAATGAGCTAGTCTCATCACATATCTGGTCTGTATTGACACTTCCCCAATTGTATGTCTCTCTCTGGTAATTCATTTGCACACTTATCCAAATTAAGCCCCACTTTTTGTATTTGAGTGTCTCAAATCTCTTAAGCTCTTGAATATTTTCACATGTGTATTTTTTTTAATGTTTATTTTGAGAGAGAGCATGAGCATGAGTTGGGGAGGGACGGGGGGGTGGGGGGACAGAAGACCCTCCTGTTTCTGTTCCCTTCGCAGTACATCACAATTTTCCCATGTCAGTAAAAAAAAAACTTTCAAAGTTAACTGTTGCCTAACAGCCCCTCATATGGACACATAATGTATATTTTAAAAGGCTGACAGGCTTTTACTACCTTAAAAAATACATATTTATTTGTATTTTAATACAGTTAAATCCAGGCTCTTGTCAGAGGTGACTTTCCCAGACTTCTCTTTTTTTTCATCTCGCTGCAGGGAGCATTTTTCCATAGCCCAGCCTCTGGGCTGTTCCCTCATGCACACATCCAGCACCCCAGAAGCTCTTTGGGGCAAGAACTGTGTCTGTCAGCTTTTATGTCTTAGGGTTTACCACAGGCACTGACACATAGCGAGTGCTTGGAAAATGGTGAATTAGAGATAGTCCGTCTCCTCTATTTTTATTGTTCACCATCTCCTAAATCCTGGAACAGTCTCCTGTCCCCGCTGCTGCCTCTCTGCTGCAGCCTAGTGTGGTGTCATGTATAAGAGCAAAGGTTTCAGAGTCACGTTAGGCCGCTTCAGGTTGTAGCCCTGCCATTTATCGACTGTGAGACTTTGGAAGTTTTTCAACCTCTCTGAGCCCTGGTTTCATCTGCTGGAAAAGAGGGATCATCATAATAACACTTACCTGCAGGTGGTTCTGAGGCTCAGATAGGCTGTATGTATACACGTATACTTATGTATGTGTATATAAAATATACAATGTAGTCATCCCAGAACTCAGAAAATAGGAAGTTGTCAGCAAGTTGTTCAGAAAGAAGTCTCTCCTCCTCCACTCATCTTGTGGCCAGCTTCAGAGAGCTGGCCACCTGCCCATCTGTTTAGCTTCCAGCCTTCAATCGTTGCCTAAGAATCCTCCTTATAACGCAGCCTGTTACGGTTCCAGGCCCACCCCTCTACTCACCTTTATTCCCTCAGCACCATCCCCCAGTCCCCACTGGGCATCCTCCTAACCAAGTGTCTTGACCCTCTTGTCTCCCCCGGAGCCCTTCTCTCTACTTCCCCTCCGTGACACCTGTTCTCCCCACTCTATTCCAGTTAGGCTTCTCTCTAGGCATGAGCCCATATGCCTGAGGCCTGTGCCTTCCAGCAGGTCCAGTGACAGCTCAGCAGGGCTGTACCTAAACACTCCTGGATTTCCATAGAGACAGAAGTGGCTGAGGCCGCAGCACTGGGCTCCTGTCTTCCCAGAGGGACCCTTAACCCTTAGTCCTCTCCCACGAGCTAAAGCAGTCTTTAAATTATTATTATTTTTTAATGTTTTATTTATTCCTGAGAGAGAGGGAGAGAGAGAGCGTGAGCAGGGGAGGGTCAGAGAGAAGGGGAGACACAGAATCCAAAACAGGCTCCAGGCTCTGAGCTGTCAGTACAAAGCCCGACGTGGGGCTCGAACCCACGAACCGTGAGATCATGACCTGAGCCGAAGTCGGACCCTCAACCGACTGAGCCACCCAGGCGTCCCAGCAGTCTTTAAATTCTTAAGTCCCATCATGACACCCCTCTTCCTTTAAACACCTCAGTGACTTCTCAGAGCTCTTAGGATGAGACCAAAATCTTTAGTGTTCATTTTACAACCTCATTGCCTGACACCATCTCCCCTTGGGGCAGCCACACTGGCTTCCGTTAGTCCACTGAACTGGCCAGGCATTTCCCAGCCTCAGAGGCTTGGGGCACGTGCCTCACTCTGCCTGGAAAGCTCTCTCCCACGACTCATTACTTTCTTCTAGATACTTCATTTTACTTCTCAATTTTTTACTGTGAGATGTTTCAAAATTGTCAAAAAGTAGACTTGTTGAAAATAGTGTGATGAACTTGGAAATACTGTTTTTACCTAGATTTATCAGTTGTTTATATTTTGCATTTTTTTCTCTCCACACACACAGTACACTTTTTTTCCTGAACCATTTGAGAGTTGCAGACATCATAGTATTTGAAAAACTTCAGTACATACTTCCTAATAACAGTAACATCCTCATACAAACCACACAAGAATGATCACATTTGAGAAATTTAACATTAGTGCCAATAGCAGATTTCATAAATGTTCTCCAAATGTCCTTTTAACCTGTTTGGTATTTTTTTTTTTTTTAAGTAAGCTCTGTACCCATTGTGGGGCTTGAACTCATGATCCTAAGGTCAAGAGTTGCATGGTCTACCAACTAAGCCAACCTGGCACTCCTGGTGTTTGTTTCTTTTTCTTTTTTATAAATCTAGGATTTAGTCAACGAGCATGAATTACCTTTCCTTGTCCTATCTCTTTCATCTCCTTCAATGTAGAACAGTCTCCTTACTTTTTTGTTTGTCTGTTTTAATGACATGGACATTTTTTTAGAGTCCAAGCCAGTTGTCTTAAAATGTCCCACAATCTGGGGCTTCTGGGTAGCTCAGTTGGTTTGAGCGTCTGACTTCAGCTCAGATCATGATCTCATGGTGTCAGCACAGAGCCCAGTTGGAATCCTCCATCCCCCTTTCTCTATCTCTCCTTCCCTCCCTCTCAAAAATAAACACTTAAAAATAAATAAAATATCCCATGATCGAGATTTGCTTATCATTTTCTCACAGTGAAATCAGTTAACAACCATTTTGGTAGGAGTACTGACTGAGTTACATTGTACACCTCCCACAGCATTACATCAGGTATCATTTCCTGTCATTTTGTTCAGTTATCAGGGACACTCCCTTTGTTCACTTAAAGTAGTATCTCTGGATCTCTCCATTACAAAGATATTTTTAAGTATTTGTGATTAGTAAGCATTCTGTGGGTGATATCTGAGACTGTACAGCAACCTTTCACTTTTAATATTTTAGTATTCACCGGAGATTAGTGATTACAAGGTGGTGATTTTCTGTCATTCCTCCTACTTTTGTTGAGATGGAATTGTCCTACAGATCCCCTGGAAATTTCTTCAGATGTAAATTCCCTGTCTTCTAATTTCCCTTTTCCTCAGGGATGCTTGGACTGATTGAGCTCCCTAACCCTTACTAAATCAAGACTCCCCTATGCACTCTGCTCTCTGCCCCCATGGCACTTGTCACAGTTACCATTAAATAATTGTATGATCATTTAACGTCAGCCTCTCAATATATAGACCATGAACGAGCATCATAGGGACAAACTATTTTGGCCATGTTCACAACTGTAACCCCAGTACTTTACCATGTGTTTGCACACAGTAATTGGCCAGTAAATGTTGGTTGAATAAATGGACACAGAATTCCAACTCTTGTCACTCTGAGGAGAGAGAAATGAGGCTCCTACTTCCCCTTCAACCCTAACTCTCTGTTTGATGTGAGGGTGTAGAGGACACAGAGCAGCTGCACTCTGGCCTAAGCCTTGGACTAAGTCCACCTGCCTGGGGATGGAGAATCCCAGATCAGGGGAAACCATAAACAGGGACAGAACTTGGAAAAATTGTAAAGCATTTCTTGGCTGTGCTCACCCACCATGACAGAATACACCAGCGCGCTCTTGCTCGCTCGCTCGCTCGCGCTCTCTCTCTCCCTCTCTCTCTCTCCCTCCCTCTCTCCCTCCTTCCTTCCTTCCCTCCCTCCCTCCCTCTCATGCCTCCAAGGCCTGCCCTGCAGCCCTTCCCCTGGTGCCAGATCCTTCCCTCGTGGTGACCTCACTCTCTCCATGCATTTTTTTCCTCGCATTGATTTGGGCAAGAAATACTTATGAGAAACTTTGGTGTACCAGATGGTGTCAAGGGCCACCTAATAGTGTGTGTGTCAGGGTGGTTCTCCCTTCCCTCAAAAACAGAAATAATAGGATACTTCAGAATTCCAAAAAACATGGAAATACTCACTGTGGGAAAAATCTGAATTGAGCTGGAATTCCTCCAGGTCATTTATAATTAGTGTTTTTAACAGCCATCAGCCACTTCATATTTTTCTCAATGCTGAGAGTGTTTAAAGGTCTTAATTAGGTGCTTCGGCAGGAGCCAGGCAAGCACCATCTTCTGCAGACAGTGCAAACAGGTACAGCAGCCCCTGGGGGAAGTGGCTGGGCTGGGGGGGATGCTTAGAGATCCCCTCTGACAAATTTTATTCATCTTAACAAGGCAGAAGTTGGGAACTGCCATCTAGGGAACAACAGATTTGCTGTGAGAGGGAGCTTGAGGAATTAGGGAAGTGCCCCAGAATACGTTTGATTTCTATAGATGGGACACAGTAAGCAAGTATGCTAAGCAAAGGGATTTTTCAAAGTATTTGCAAACATTACATATTCTAATCCTACAGGCCATCCTTTGGCATGGGATGGAGATACAGGGTACTAGATCTGGGAACCCTGGGAGAGGACGGGAGGGGTGTGAGCTGGGCTGGCCTGGAAGACTGTATTCACCATCCCACTCTCTCCCCAGCTCCCAAAATGGTGATGAAACCGGCACTTGGCCCAACAATCAATTTGATACAGAGATGCTGCAAGCCATGATCTTGGCCTCTGCCAGTGGTAAGTTGTGTCACTTGTGTGTGGGGGGATGGGGACCTGGGATTCTGGGGGAATCCCACAGCCACCTGCCTTAAGACTGGCTGTCAACCTGCATGATTTCTCTGGATCTTTCTCAGAGTCCCTGAGAAGACTCATAATTCCTGGACAAAAAGCCAGGTTGAAAAATAGGTTAAGACTTCTGCAATGCCTAGAAAAGGTGAAAAAGGAAAGATTTATTGAGGGAATAGAGAGAGTGGTGTTACTAATCCAGCTCCAGAAGGGGACTGCATAGGTCGGATTCTACTTCTGCCACTTACTGTCTTTGTGAATTTGATAATTTTGCTTAATCTTGCTAAACCTCAGCTTCTTCAGCCAAGAAAATGGAGAAGTGGCCTCAAAGGTTTGTTGTGAGGGTTAAATGAGACCGTACTACAAAGCACAAAGTACTGGGCCTGTGATATACAGGCCCTTTTTTCTATGGTAGTGGATGTGGATACTCCCAGCACCAAGAACACATTTGGATGAGAGACCGCTTCCCTTTGCTGTTGCCCCACCTCAAGAGCAGCATTTTGATTTTCCTAGAAGGCTAACAGAGAACTTCACATGCAATAGAGATTCAGTCAATGGTTGTTGGCCCTGAAGAAGGGTCCTGAGCAGGGCAGACAGAAACACAGAATGATGTTAGTACTTTAGAGCACAAGCTTTGGAGGCAGGTCAACCTGGACTCAAATCTCAGCATCCACACTTAGCTGTGAGTCCTCAAGGAAGGTGCTAAGCTCCTCTGGGCCTCACTTGGAGTGACTATCACATGAGAACTAGAACAGATCTTGCTGGTATTGGGAGGGCCTGATGTGAGGCCTTAGCACAGGGATGACAGAGCAAGGGCACAATATGTAGTGGCAAAATTGATTACTTCTTATCTTTTTTGACCTGTAAAAGGCAGATTTAGAATAATGCCTATTCATAAGGACTAGTTCTAGGAGTAGTACATCTTGGGCTTCCTGTGGAAACTGTCAGGGGATTAGGCCCTGGGCTTAGTGCAGTGAAAGCCTCTGGCCTACACCATGTGTGGAGGGCTGGGAAAGAACCCGGTGAAATCAGAACCTATGGGGGCGCCTGGGTGGCTTAGTCGGTTAAGCGTCCGACTTTCGCTTAGGTCATGATCTCGCGGTTTGTGGGTTCGACTTTCGCTTAGGTCATGATCTCACGGTTTGTGGGTTCGAGCCCCGCGTTGGGCTCTGTGCTGACAGCCAGCTCAGAGCCTGGAGCTTGTTTCAGTCTGTGACTCCCTCTCTCTCTGACACTCCCCTGCTCACGCTGTCTCTCTCTCTCTCTCCTAGAAAAAAAAAAAAAAAAAAAAGAACCTATGTTCTGTCCTGGGTGCATGCTAGGCCTCACATCAATTCATCCTCTTAACCAGCTCTGCAAAGCAGGTCTGTGATTACTTACGTCTGACAGATGAGAAAACTGAGAAAACCCTTGCTCCAGGGTCCCCCTTTTGAGCTCCAGATTGGCAATTCTAACCCGTTCCGACTCTCAAGTTCATGGCTTTCTTTTGCACAAACCATGTCTGCCTTTAGATGCAGCCTGTGTTTCCCTTTTAGCTGAGTAAGTGTAAAGGCTAAACTCCTCTTAGCATCCTGCTTTAATCTACCAGACTAGAGGTGCCAGATAAAACACAGGAGGCCTGGTTAATTTTAACTTCATGTGAACAACAAATAATATTTTAGCATAAGTATTTCCCAAACATGAGTATTGAGACATACTATGTAAAAAAAGAAAGAAAAAACAAAACAAAAAAAAAAAAACCTTGCTCATTGTTTATCTGAACTTCAGATTTAATTGGGAGGATCCTGCATTTTTATTTGTTAAATTTGGGAAGCCTCTCCCAGATGTCTTTGAGGCTAAGTGAAGCCAGGCCCATGGTAGGTGAAGGGGGAGAGGAAGTGACCATGGCAGCCAGCCTTCTGGGACAGAGCTGGCCCGGGTCTGGGGTGGGCGGGAGCTGTACTTCTGGAGAGACCAGATACTGAGTATGAAAGAGGCAGGTGGGTGCGTCTAGGAGATGCCAAGTCAGGTTCTTGAGGGAAGTAGACAGACAGGTATATTTAACTGTTGTGGTTTTTAGCATTATGTGCAGGAAGGCGGCTTTTTGGTCTAAACCCAGATTTAAGAAACAAAAATGGAATCAGTATTTATGGCCCCAAGCCCCCTAGGGTCCCCTCCCTTGTCAGGGCTCCACCCTTCTGGCCTACACAGCCTCTGACCTGAGTGTAAGCTGGGGACTTGGGGAATGGATCCAGAGGGTTGAAGTGGCAGGGTCAGGCCCTGCTCTCACTTTCACACCCGCTTCTCTGTCCTGAAGCCAGAGAGGTTCCTGGAGTCCAGCCCAGCCTGGCTAGGGGGGCTGCTGAGGGGAAGTAAGTAAGAAGGAAAGTAAGTACACTTGGGAGGCTTTTTAAATAAACACTTGGGGGGAAGTGTGTCCTCAAGGAGGTTCTCATTTGCGGTTCTACTGACTCTGGTTTAGCTTGACCAGACTTCTATGTCTGGAGGTGCTGTCTCATCCCTAGGTTGGGGTGGGAAGGGAGGCTGTGAGGCCAGGAGGTGGAGAGGAGGCCAGCACACTCTGCCCTTTAGGCCAGAGGTTGCCTGGGTTCTTTCTTAGTGCTTTTTTTTTTTTTTAAGATTTTATTTTTTAATTTTTATTTATCATTAAAATTTTTTGTTCAAATTTTTTCAAGAGAGAGCAGGAGTGGGGGAGAGGCAGAGATGGAGAGGGAGAGAGAGAGAGAGAGAGAGAGAGAGAGAGAATCCCCAGCAGGCTCCACACTGTCAGTGCAGAGCCGCATGTGGCACTTTAGCCCACTGTGAGATCTTGACCTGAGGTGAAATTAAGAGTTCAACTGAGCTACCCAGATGCCCCATATTTTATTTTTAAGTAATCTCTACACCCAGTGTAGGTCTTGGACTCACAACCCTGAGATCAGGAGATTCATGCTCTACTGACTGAGCCACCAGGCACCCCTTTCTTGCTGCTTTTTAAAGAATGTTTCTCTATGGAATGGGAAACATCTTGGTCACTGCTCACTGTGTGTAGGAGGGACCATTGAAGAATTGATTCTACAAAGGTCAGAGGCTGCGATCCACCATCTCCCCCTCAGATTTATAGATGGGGAAATTGAGGCCTGAGTCATGCAGGACCTCTGCCAGGGTCACCCACCTTTCTTAGTGGCAGCATTAAACAGAAGGAACTTTTTCAGCCTTTTTTGTTATGACCTGAATTTGTACATCTTCTCTCTCCTGTTCCAGCTCAACCTCGAAGTCCCCCACAGAGCCTGGGCCAGCATCAGGCCCACGCTTCTCCTGGGAGGTGACAAGAACTGACTTTGTCATTTCCACCTCCTTGGGGTGCTCCTTAGAGATGTAGGATGCGGGTAGGATGTGGGTGGGCTTGGCCTCCAGTTACCCAGTCAAGCTCTTTCTGCCCTTCTGCTTCTACCTCTTTTCTCCCTGGTTCTCCCTATTTCTTCGTGTGTGTGTGTGTGTGTGTGTGTGTGTGTGTGTGTGTGTGTGTGTGTCCGTGTCCCCCTCTCTCCCTCTCTGGCGCCTCTGAAGTCTCTCCTTTAGCCCCTAAATCACTCTGGAATCCTAGCTCTTTGAAGCAGAGTCTGGGCCCCCTCCCCCACCCCTTCATTCCCAGGCTGGAAGAGGGGTATGCTGGAGGGGAGGGTGAGCTTGGCTCCATCCTGGAGTTAATTAGGGAAAACATGGCGAAAAAAGTCAGTGGAATGAAAGGGTTGGGGGAGGGGAGCAGCCTGGGGAAAGAGAGAAGGAAGTGGGCAGCTGTTCCCTCCCACCCAGCATCTCTTTCACACCCCCCCCCAAAGCCCTCAGATCCCTGGATTTGGGACTTGAAATGGAGATTGTAGAAACCTGAGCACTGGAGTGAGGAGGCAGAAAAACCCAAGGCTCTTCTCTCTGTTCCCTTCTCCTATGCCCTTCCCCCTCTTGTGCTGGTTTTTGAAAACAGTTTCTGTGTATTTCTCAATCCCTGGTTAGTGTCCCAGGATTAGTCAGCCTCTCCGGCTTTAGTCACCCTCTCTTCGCACTCTCAGGGTCTAGTGTGGAGTAAAGGGAGACTGGGAGGAGAGCTCTTTTGTCAGCTGGGCTGGGGCTTGGCTGGGAATTCCAGGGCCTTTAACGCTCCCACTGCCAGAGGACTCCAGCAGGAGCCCTTGTGAACTCAGCCTGAGTCGGGGAAATTCCTGGTTTTCCCTGCTGTACTCAGGGAGCACATAGAGTAGAAGTAACAACACACACGGTGTGGTAGTGATGATGTGAGCGCTGCTCCCAACACTGAGCGAGCATTTACCTAGTGCCTGGGGACTCATGAAGCATTGTCTCATTTGAGCCTCACAAAAACCCAATGGGGTAAGTGATTCTGTGCTTCTCTACCTTCAGAGTGCATAAAAATCACTTGAAAATCTTGTTAAAATGCAGATTCTGAGTCTCCATTTCTAACAAGCTCCCAAGGTGATGCTAAGCTAGGAGCCAGAATTTGTAGGTCTCTAGACCCTGTTTCTTCTTGTATACAGTAGGAAGTTTGGCTTGGGGTGTTCTCTGATGTTCCGTAGCTCTGATACTGTGAAACTCTGTCTACCTTGTACCTAAGATATCTGGTCCCAGAGGATGGGCTGAGTGAGTGATGGGTATTAAAAAGGATACTTGTGATGACCACTGGGTGTTATATGTTAGTGATGAATCCCTAAATTTTACACCTGAAACTCATGTTACCGTGTATGTTAACTAATGAGAATTTAAATAAAAACTTGAAATCCAAAAGAGAAATAAAAGAGAGCTCTGGTCCCAGAATCATCATCTTCTTAGCCTCCTAGAACGTGGCTCATTTTGTCTTCTCTCCTCGTCCTTTATCCTCAGAGTGGTAAGTTCCGAGCCTCTGGTGGCAGTGGTGACTCTCTATAGTATATGCTTGGACACACTCAGCCACCCCTGCTTTAACCTGTGCTGGCTGCTGTGGCTTTGAGTTAGTCCTTTACCCTCTTTGAGCCTTGCTTTCCTCATCTTTAAAGTGAAGATAAATACCACATACCTCACTGGGTTGTCTTTTTTAGGTGAAAGCCTCAAAAGTTGTTATTTTTACCCCCTTTCATAGATGAGGAGACATAGGGAGGTTAGGTAGACTTGACCCCAGTTGGTTAGTAGGTACAAGAGCTGGGAATCAAATCCAGGCTGTCTCACTCTAGAGGCACTTACCTCTACTCCTTTGTTAAAGGTGTTTATCCCCCTTTGATAGAGATGATACTCCCAGGGTTCAGTGTGGTCAGGGCTGGGTGCTCTGTCCATTAGCTGGTTGTGCTATAAAAGAGGGATGGACCCAGAGTTTAGCTCCTGACCTTCTTCTTTCTCTTGCAGAAGCTGCTGATGGGGGCTCCACCCTGGGAGGGGGCGCTGGCACCATGGGCCTGAGCACCCGCTACGGGCCCCAGTTTACCCTGCAGCACGTTCCAGACTACCGCCAGAACGTCTACATCCCCGGCAGTAACGCCACACTGACCAACGCGGCTGGCAAGCGAGATGGCAAGGCCCCTGCCGGTGGCAATGGCAACAAGAAGAAGTCAGGCAAAAAGGAGAAGAAGTAACGTGGAGGCCAGGCCAAGAGCCACGGGGCAGCTTCCCTCCCCAACCAGCCCAGCCTCTCCGTACCTGTACCCAGGCCTCACATTTTCAGGGCTCACCCCCAGAAACTGACAGGGGTCCAGGCCATGCTCCCTTTGAGAAACAGAAACAAGTGCCCAGTCAACACCCCCCTCTCTGCCCCCAAGGGATTGAATATGCAAAAGGGAGTTCTGCTGGGAACCCCCATTCAGTCCATTGCTGTGCCCATGGGGGTAGTGGGGTTAGTGTAGACACCATTTATCACATCCCTTTAGTTACAGCTGAATTTTGCCATCTTCCAAATTCAATCAGGCCCATCCACAATCCCCTGTCTCCCTCCTGTCCACCCCACCCCCTCAGCAGCTCCTCTTTCTTGAATAAGGTAGTTGAGGTGTTGAGGTACCTGGTGACCTAAAGAGGCTCATAGTTCTGAAGAGTTGGAAGGGCGTCGTAACCTCTTGGCCTCTCCAATGCTCAGACTGCCCCCAAAGCATGGTTTGGTGTCTGTCCCTTCATCTCCTTCCAGAGCCCAAGACCAAGCTCAAGTTTTGGGAGACATGGTCACCATTGCCACGGTACTGATGCTTGCTGGATTTAGGGAGGGCACTTTGCTACCGTGCCCCTTCCCAGCGCCCTTGGGACCAGTCTTTTGTTCTGTTTTTCACTGTTAGATGTCCCGCTGCATGCCATGACTCCCCCTCTCCAAACAAGAGACTCCGTTGCATGCTCCAAGACAGCATGGGGTGGTGAGATAAGGAAGGGAAGGGTGTGGATATAGGGGATGGACAAAGCTTGACTTGCCGGTTATCAGGATCTTACAGAAGGCTCTGTGTCCCCAGGGTACTGGCCGGATCCCCGATTCCAGCCGTAAATCAAGTACCAGGCTGGACCCTCATTTACCACATTCAAGGCTCACACACCTCAGGCAGTGAGCTTTGAGCTGAGCTGTTAGCACCAGTAGGATTTAAACTGGCATTACGGTCAAATGAAAGTCTGAGGATGTTTAGGACCAGGTCCCCTGCCTGGAGAGGTCAGAGGGCCCTCTGTGGGTGCTGGGTACTCCAGAGGTGCCACAGGTAGAAGAATCACTGTGGCCCTAGCAGCGAGGCAGGGTCAGCTAGGCCGTTCTTGGTCCCTGGGTTAGGGAGGCATGGAGCTAGAGCAGGGACCAAGTGGACAGAAAGTCTCCGCCTAGGATCCAGGCTTCTCCACAGGGCCCCTGCGGTCCCCCAGCCTCTGTTCCTTCATCTTGCCAGGTGCCATTTCTTCTCCGTGAAGGCCAATGCCCAGGCCCCCAGTCTGCCCCCTAGTGGCCAGAGCCTGGTTAAAGTCCCCCAGTGCCTCCTTGTGCATAGACCTTTCTCTGCCCACCCCCTTCTGCCTACCCCCTCTCCCAGCCCCCGTACCTCCAGCGGGGTTGCTCAAGAACCCCACCCCATCCCTTAACGGTAGTGTAGAGCCCCCTCCCTCTTTCGGCTGGTGTAGAATAGCCAATAGTGTAGTGCGGTGTGCTTTTCCGTGATGGCGGGTGGGCGGAGGGCTCCGCGCAGCCATCTGTCCTTGAATCCGCTTGCGGCGGCCCGTGCTGTGTTTTGTGCTGTGTCCACGCGCTGCGGCGACCCCCGTCCCCTGTACTGACTCCTATAAGTGCTTCTCTTCGCATAGTCATGTAGCTTCCCACCCACTCCCCATCCTGTGTCTCACGCAAGTTTTATACTCTAATATTTATATGGCTTTTTTTCTTTGGAAAAAAAAAATTAAAAGGTTTCTTCTGAAAGGTTGAACAGTTCTCTGTAAGAGATGGAGGCTCCTGGCATGTGTGGATGAAATGCTACGAGGTGTATGCCAGAAGAAGGGTGGGATCGCAAGGCTATTACTGTATTTGTGTCTTGGTTTTGTGTCGCTGCCCTTGAATCTGTGTGTGACAGTCAAATGTGGCTGTGTGCGGTTGGAATACTGTTGTGCATATGTAACAGTGTACAGTTGACTGTAATTGTGCTTGTGGATCTGTATACCGTTGTGTGTAATCAGCTTATGGATCTGTTGTGGAGGAGGGGATTTCTGAGCGATACCTGTCTGTGTGCAGTTCAGAGTGCAATTGTATGCTTTGTGGCTCTCCCTTAAGGTTCTGAGTGCCAGTCTCCCGGCGGCGGAAGAGACTCCAGAGCGGGGGCGGGGGTGTGTTGGCACCAGCTACAGAGCTGTAAATCGGGTGGTGGACATTTCCTTAGTTTCCACCTCTTCCCCGCTAAAATTAACACCCCCGAGTGCCCTTGTGGGCTTCTGAGGAGGGTGAATTCTCCTTTGCCCACTCCCCTCCACCCAGGCTGCCTAGTGGCTTTGGGAACACTGCAAGAGGGCGGGCTACATTTAGCCCGGGGCTCGGTTTTCCCATCTGGAAGTCACCTTCCCAGTGTCTGCGGCAAAGCCAAGGAAGTAGAAGGTTCATCACTTTGTTGCTGGGGCGTGGGGGCGGAGTGCCCTGTGTCAAGGGGATTGACGAGTATACAGGGTATGAGATTGCCTGCAGACCCAGATCGTCTTCGCTTGCTCCTCTCTCCCTCTCTCCTTGCTTTTCCAGTCACCCCTCACTTAGCCCTCCTCCCCTCTCCTGTTCCTAGGCCTGCCTCCTTGGAACACAGTGGGATTCGAGGTTGTCCTCCACAGGAAGTACAGAGGACAGGACAGGATGCAGAGGAAGGACAGAAACACAGACCGACTGTGCTGTCTGGCAGGTCAGGGAGGGCATGCGTAACCGCAGGGTGGACGGAGACTGTCTCTGGGCTTCCTCTGCGCATCCTCTCAGAGCCCTGTCACGTGTTTTGCCAGCTTCTGAAGTCTGTTGTCAGGGAAACCAAGCCTTCCAACTAAGCATCTGGAGGCGACCTTCTTGCGTGGGAGGAAGGGTGGCGTGCAGGGTTTCTGAGATGGCAGTGGGGTTTTGTTTCTGAGAGCCGGGCTGCAGAGGGCGGGGTGCTGGGTGCCTGGGTTCTATTCCAGGCACGGCGGTAGATTGGCAGTGTGTGTGAGCAGCTGTGGTTGGTCCCCTAATTGGTATGTACGCCTGTAAAGCTCTGCAACAGAAACGCGTGGCTTCTGGTAGGGAGAGGGAGGAGGCAGCCCACCCCCACATCCCCAGCCATACTGAGGAGGCAGCTGCCCAGGCTCCAGGGCTATTTAAAAAGGCTTTTATTTCCAGTTCCAGAGTCTGCCAGAATGGGTTTGTGGTCCTCTTCAAGCCCCTCCTTGTCTATTCTGGGTCTGTTCATAGCTTGTAAGGTTCCTTTGTGTCGGTTATACAGTGTGCTCAAGTACGGCTCTGAGCAGCAAGGTACCTGGAGCATGACCTCTGGCTTCTGACCTCTGCTGGCAGGCTCGGGTTTCTATCAACCCCACCCCCCATAAATTCCTCTAATCTCCAATGTGGTCTATGGCCACCAAAAGAGTGGGGGTGTGGGGTGGGCTAGAAAAGGACAGATGGGAGAATCTTCCCTCAGCAAAAGAGGCACAGGTGCTGCCAGGACCTAGGAGTTTATGACATGTGGGGGCATGAGGAGGTGGGGAGCTAGAACGGAGTTCAAGAAAAGGGTTCCAAACCACTAGGCAGCAATGTGGAAGGATTGGAAGGAGTGGCAGGGTGGGGAAAGCCCTATTCCTTTATGACAGCAAATGCAAGGACCGAAGCCTAAGCATGGTGTCTGTCTGGCACATGCTAGGCACCTTAAGCCTTTTTTTTTTTTTTTAAAGTATGTTTATTTCTGAGAGAGAGTGTGAGCAGGGGAGGGTCGGAGAGAGAGGAAGATACGGAATGCAAAGCAGGCTCCAGGCTCTGAGCTAGCTGCCAGCACAGAGCCCGACGTGGGGCTCCAACCCACGAACTGTGAGGTCATGACCTGAGCGAAGTCAGATGCTTAACTGACTGAGCCACCCAGGCGCCCCAGCACCGTAAGCTTTTTGACAACGATTTGTCAGATCAACCAGGGATTGGGATAGTAGCTTATAATCACAAAGGAGGAGGTAAGGTCATACTGTTTCAATGCTTTATTAACAGTTGGAAATAAACCCACCAAACTGGAGGTGATGACATCCCAGAAGCCCAAGAGGCAAGGGAAACAGGTTTGCATTTTGTCTTTTTTATTTTTTATTAAATGCATCTTAGCAAAAGTAGATTAAAAAAGAAAGGGTCAAAGCCCCAGATGTCAGCAGGGAAGAGGAGGGGACCCACAGGAGCAGCCCTCCCCACCCCCACCCCCCTCCAGGGAGTAGCTCAAAGGAGCTGCGGTTGCCCCTTCACACACAGGCAGCTACTGTAGCAAACAGAACCTCTGTTCCCGGCCTGAAGGCCTCCCTGCAGGAAGCCTCAGGTCTCTTCAATTCCCCCCTTTGCTCCAAGAACTTAAATTCTGGGTCATGCCTGAGCAGTGTCATTCTCTCTCCTACCTGGGAGTGGAAGCTAAAGTCAAAAGGAGGGCAAAGTGTCACCTTGAGCCAGAGAATCTGAGCTTCCTGGAGCCAGTGAACAGTCTGGCCTGCCCACTGTTCACAAGGGAGCAGGGGGACACTGTGTGGCAACACTCCTCACTTGCCCAGTGTCCAGTTAGCATTTGCACATTTGGCTTGATTAAATATATTAAATTTATAAAAACTCTGTGGTCTCAGAGCTCCCACCACTCTTCGGCCTGGTCCAGCTCGACCAAAGAGCTTCCTCCTGCCCCAGAACTGGATGATGATGAGAGAGAATCTGCACTGGCCTTTAAGGGCCCAGAAGGCTTTAGGGTGGAGGTCCAGGGTCTTGTTCAGGACTGAGGCCCTGTGGGGAGAAATCCCAGAGACACTAGGACCTGCCCTCAAAGCCTCTTACGTTAGGGAGGGAAAAGGTGGGAAGGATGGTTATTTTCTTAAAAAAGAAAAAAAAAAATCTCATATAAAAATAGATCCATTTGCAAAACAATTTCTCAGCCAGGAGGCTCCACCTCCCAATTCCTTGGAGACAGAGGGTGAGGTGTTGGGATGGTCACAATACAGCCCCTACTCCAGAGGAGATGCACCAAAGCTCTGGGGGAGATGTGAGGAAAGACCATGGCTCAGTAGCCTGGGGCAGGTCTAGAGGGTTCACAGAAGCAGGGTCATAAACCATGGCAGCAGGCTGGGGACAGGTTCCATGATGTCTCTATACCCTGCCTGCCCACAGGCTCTGGCCTAGGCCATCGTGGAACAGATCAAGTGGTCCAGGTCCTTTTTGTTTTGGGGAAGGGGGGATTGCCTCCCCACTTCTTTGGGCGCGGCTCCCAGTGTCACACCACTACTAATAAATAACAGTAACCAGGAGAGGGAAGAGTAGAGGTGACAGCAATGAAAGAAGGGAAGGGATACAGCCTAAAGGTTCACAAGCCCCATGCTGTTCTCAGGGCTAGAGAAACCACAAAAGAAAAAGCAGGAACCCAGCAAGACTGACCGAAGTGAAAGCCTACTGGAAAGGCAGGGGTTTAGAAAGCAGGATGGGCCTCATCTGAGACAAGGCCTTAGAGTGACAGAGAGAAGACCGCTGGGGTTAAGGCAGCAAACACAGAGCCTGCTTTGGTAATACGACAGCCGGGGCTGGCTGGGCTCAGGCTTCCCCCACACTGCCCTTTCCTACTGGCCTCCAGGCGGCTGAAGCTGTGTGTGATGTAGAGAGAGCAGCAGGCCAGAGGTGAGACAGGGTCAGGGTAGTGGGAGCAGCCACCCCAGAAGAATATTTCCGTGACCCTTTAGGCACATGCTGCCGGGCAAGACGGTCTGGGGCTCCACTTAAGGGAGCTGCTGTGGCCACAAGACCCAGCTTAGCTTGCACGGCCAACCAGCTCCTTGGGTTCTTCAAGGATTGTAGGGACTCCCTCAGTGTTCTTGGTAATCTTAGGAGGAATAATAGTCATGGCATCGTCCTTGGTCAGCTCCGAGGCTAGCAGAGATGTGACTGCACAGCCGGCCTTCCTGTTGGCTGCAAAGAAAAGACATGAGAGAGCTTGTCCACAGAAGGCCCAATTTCTAATGCCTTTCAAACCCTGTAGCAGACATTCAGCCCAAAGCCATGCAAATGTGGCTGCATGGTCTGGTTCAGAAAGGCCCTTATTTTAAAGAAAGGGGCAGAGATCTAAGAACATGTGGAATATACTTTCTAAGTACAGAGAATGTGAGGGTGTGGGTAGGCTTTCCTGTGCAAAAACCATACAGAGGTTTGAATACGGCTAGACAGAAAAAATGTGATTCAGGTTTGTTAGGTATAACTTAAAGAGGAATGAAATGCTCAAAATCTGTTTTCTCGTTGTAGAGTTGTTGGAATTAAAGAGACTCAGGCTTAGTAAAGAGTAGTATTCTTGTTTTCTTGGAGTTTCAGGAATTTCCTAGGCCAAAACCATTTTCAAGTCAGACCTGGGGAAGGCTGTCCAAACACAGGAAGGTGTTCTGTAGGCTGCTGGGGGCAACTCCTGCCAAGCGGACCAACAGCCAGGCACTAACGTCAAATGCACGCCACCCTCCCACGTGTACCCCCAACCCCCTCTGCTCCCCATGCCCAGCTCTTTTCCCCCTCTTCAGGAATAGCAGCTGTGAGACAAATGCCAAAGGTCCCCTATAAGGTATGTATGTCGGGTGGGACTGGGTGGGTAATGAAAGGTATGGCAGGGAAGGCAGAGCTGCGGTCAAGGATGGCCAGGACAGGCCCCTACAAAGAAATCTCAGCCCAAAGTGCTAAGGGATGGTGATGCTCCCGGTGTGGTCTTAAACAGAATGAGAAGAACCA